TTTGTGAGATACATTCTCTTACTACCCTCACCTATAGGAGATACATAACATTGTTCCCCTTATCTTTGTGAGATACATTCTCCTGTTACCCTCATCGATGTGAGATACATTCCCTTACTATCCTCATTTATGTGAGATACATTCTCTTTTTATCCTCATCTAAGTGAGATACATTGATCCCTTGTTTCCCTCACGTAATGCAGATACATTCCCTTTTTACCCTCATCTTTGTAAGATACATTCTCTTTTAACCCTCATCTATGAGAGATACATATGCAAGACCACACACAAGTGTGTGGTCTTTCTTTAATCACATACCTTCCGTATTTGGTAGAGATCGATACAAAGATTTTCTAAACTTTGATATTTTTTGCAAATACCGGGAACTTTTCAGTTCGCCATGACAAGGGGATTCTCATAAAATGTAGTTCCGGCTAGTAGGTAAATACAACATTCCGTATTGCACATGTGCAATACAGAACGTTGTATTTCATGGTATGAAAATTGCTTGTATTACTAAAACAAGATTCAACAGGTATGTGATAAATTCCCTTATTACTCTCATCTATCTGAGATACATTCCCTTGTTATCCTCACCTTTGTGAGATACATTGATCCCTTGTTTCCCTCACGTAATGGAGAAACATTCCCTTTTAACCATCATCTTTGTGAGATACATTCTCTTTTTACCCTCATCTATGATAGATACATTCCATCATTACCCTCATCTATCTGAAATACATTCCCTTGTTACATGTATCAACATCTTTGTGATATACATTTCCTTGTTATCCTCATCTTTGTGAGAAGTATTCCTTGTTGTCTTCATCTTTGTGAGATATATCTACATAACATTGTTTCCCTCACCTTTGTCAGATAATTCCCTTTTTATCCTCATCTATGTGAGATACATATCTTTGCTAACCTCATCTATGTGAGATACATTCCCTTATTAGTGTCATTTATGTAAGATACATTCCCTTGTTAACCTCATCTTTGTGAGATACATTCCCTTGTTACCCTTATCTTTATGAGATACATTCCTTTGTTACCCCCATCTTCGTCAATTACATTCCCTTGTTAATATCATCTATGTCAGATACTTTCCCTTGTAAATCTCATTTATAAAAGATACATTCCCTTGTTACCCTCTTCTACGTCAGATGCATTCCCTTGTTACCCTCATATGTGTGAGATACATTTAATTGTTACACTGAACTAATTGAGATAAATTCCCTTGTAAATCTCATCTTTGTGAGATACATACCAAATATAAATAACATTGAGAATTTTAGATTCAAGAAAACGGACGATTTGTTTAGCTGAATACATTGATAAATTCGTGCTCTATGTGAGATACTTTCCTTTGTTACCCTTGTATTTGTGAGATACATTCCCTTATTGCCCTCATTCTTGTCATATACATTCCCTTGTTAATCTCATATTTGTGAGATACATTCCCTGGTTACTTCCATCTAGATGTATGTCAGATGCATTCCCTTCTTACCCTCATTTTTGTGAGATACATTACCTTGTTACCCTCATCTTGTGACATGCATTCAATTGCTACCTTCAATGATGTCAGATGCATTCTCTTGTTACTCCATCTTTGTGAGATACATCCCCTCTCTATCTTCATCTTTGTGAGATACATTACCTTGTTACCCTCATCTTGTGACATGCATTCAATTGCTACCTTCAATGATCTCATCTTTGTGAGATACATTCTCTTTTTACCCTTATCTATGAGAGAGACATTCCCTTATTACCCTCATCTATCTGCGATGCATTCCCTTGTTATCGTCATCTTTGTGAGATACATTCCCTTGTTATCTTCATCTTTGTGAAATACATTCTCTTACTATCCTCATCTAAGTGAGATACACTGATCCCTTGTTTCCCTCACGTAATGGAGATACATTCCCTTGTTACCCCCATCTTCGTCAATTACATTCCATTTGTTAATCTCATCTATGTCAGATACATTCCCTTGTTAATCTCATTTATGTAAGATACATGCTCTTGTTACCCTCTTCTATGTCAGATGCATTCCCCTTTTACCCTCATCTTTGTGAGATACATTTAATTGTTACCCTGAACTATGTGAGATACATTCCCGTCTTACCCTCATCTTTGTGAGATACATTCGATTGTTTCCCTCATCTAAGTGAGATACATTCCGTTGTTTCCCTCATTTGTGTGAGATACATTCCCTTTTTATCCTCATTTTTGTGAGATACATCCCCTTGTTACCCTCATCTATGTGAGATACATTCCCTTGTTATACTCATCTTTGTGACATACATTCCCTTGTTACCTCATCTATGTGAGATACATCCCCTTGTTACCCTCAGCTATGAGATATGCATTCTTGTATTACCCTCATATATCTGAGATACATTCCATTGTTACTCTCATCTTTGTGAGATACATTCCCTTGTTACCCTCATCTTTGTGATATACATTTCCTTGTTATCCACATCTTTGTGAGATACATTCCTTGTTATCTTCATCTATGCGAGATACATTGATCCCTTGTTTCCCTCACTTTTGTCAAATAATTTCCTTTTTATCCTCATCTATGTGACAAACATCTCCTTGCTAAACTCATCTATGTGAGATACTTTCCTTTGTTACACTCATATATATGAGATACATTCCCTTGTTACCTTTATCTATGTGAGATACATCCCCTTGTTAAATTTACCCTCATTTTTGTGAGATACATTACCTGTTACCCTCATCTTAGTGAGACACATTCCCTTGTTACCCTCATCTTTGTGAGATACATTCCCTTTTTATCCCCATCTTTGTGAGACACATTGCCTTGTTACCCTCAACTATGTGAGATACACTCAATTTTTACCCTCATCTACAGTAGATACATTACCTTGTTACCCTCATCTTGTGACATACATTCAATTTTTACCTTCAATGATGTCAGATACATTCCCTTGTTACCCTTACCTTTGTGAGATACATCCCCTTTCTATCCTCATTTTTGTGGGATACATTCCCTTTTATCCTCTTCTTTGTGAGATACATTCCCTTTTTATCTTCATCTAGATGAGATACATTCCCTTTTTATCCTAATCTTTGTGAGATACATTCTTTGTTACCTTCATCTTTGTGAGATACACTCAATTGTTACCCTCATCTACAGTAGATACATTACCTTGTTACCCTCATCTTGTGACATGCATTCAATTGCTACCTTCAATGATGTCAGATGCATTCTCTTGTTACTCCATCTTTGTGAGATACATCCCCTCTCTATCCTCATCTTTGTGAGATACATTCCTTTTTATCCTCATTTTTGTGAGATACATAAACCTTGTTACCCTCATCTTAGTGAGACACATTCCCTTGTTACCCTCATCTTTGTGAGATACACTCAATTGTTACCCTCATCTATAGTAGATACATTACCTTGTTACCCCTATCTATGTGAGATACATCCCCTTGTTACCCTCATCTATAGTAGATACATTACCTTGTTACCCTCATCTTACGACATACATTCAATTGTTACCTTCAATGATGTCAGATGCATTCCCTTGTTACCCTCACCTTTGTGAGATACATCCCCTCTCTATCCTCATCTTTGTTGGATACATTCCCTTTTATCCTCTTCTTTGTGAGATACATTCCATTTTTATCCTCATCTAGTTGAGATGCATTCCCTTTTTATCCTAATTTTTGTGAGATACATTCCGTTTTATCCTCATCTTTGTGAGATACATTCCTTTGTTTCACTCAACTATCGGAGATACATTCCCTTTTTATCCTCATTTTGGTAAGATACATGACCTTGTTACCCTCATCTTTGTGAGATACATCCCCTTTTATCCTCATCTTTGTAAGATACATTCACTTTCATCCTCATCTATGTGAGATACATCCCCTTGTTACCCTCATCTATGTGAGATGCATCCCCTTGTTACCCTCATCTATATGAGATACATCCCCTTGTTACCTTCCTCTTTGTGAGATACATCCCCTCTCTATCCTCATCTTTGTGAGATACATTCCGTTGTTTCCCTCATCTAAGTGAGATACATTCCCTTTTTATCCTCATTTTTGTGAGATACATTACCTTGTTTCCCTCATCTAAGTGAGATACATTCCCTTTTTATCCTCATTTTTGTGGGATACATCCCCTTGTTACCCTTATCTATGTGAGATACATCCCCTTGTTACCCTCATCTATGTGAGATACAATTCCATTGTTACCCTAATCTTTATGAGATATATTCCATTGTTACCCTCATCTATGTGAGATATATTCCGTTGTTACCCGTATACGTTCCTTTGTTACTCTCATTTATAGGAGATATATTACCATGTGACCTTTATCTTTGTGAGATACATTTCCTTGTTACCTTCATCTATGTGTGACACATTCCCTTATTACATTCATCTTTGTGAGATATATTCTCTTTTATCCTCATCTTTGTGAGATGCATTTCCTTTTTACCCTCATCTATGTGAGATGCATACCCTCGTTACCCTCATCTATGTGATATACGTTACCTTGTTACCCTCATCTTTGTATGATACATTCCCTGTTTACCCTCATCTATGTGAGATATATTCTCTTGTTCTCCTCATGTATGTGAGATACATTCCCTTGTTACTTTGATCTTTGTGAGATTCATTCCCTTGTTACCCTCATCTATGTGAGATACATCCCCTTGTTACCCTCATCTATTCGAGAAACATCCCCTTGTTACTCTTATATATGTTAGTGAGAAACATCCCCTTGGTAAACTCATCTTTGTGAGTGAGATACATCCCCTTGGAACCCTCATCTATGCGAGAAACATTTTTAACTTATCCTCGTCGACAAGTTATACATACATGTACTTTTTTTGATGTACTATTGGATAGGCTATCTTTTTTCATTCATTTTGAATTAAGACAGCTCTGTCAACAGTGCCCAAATTAGGAACCTTCATCGCTGCCACTAAAGAAAGAAAAAACGAAAACATCGAGTTTACCGTAAATGACTGTGTCACTGAATACTTCGGACATTCCTGGTCATGGCAGAAAGCTGGCGGTGCTGCTTGTTGGACATTGGGTAGGGGCTGCACCACGGCCAGTGCGCAGGATACGGCCACGCAGTAGGTAAGATAGACAAGGCACCGCATGGCTGGAATATTTAAATCAAAACGTTATTAGTCTATTTATTTTTGTGACGCTATACATCTATTCTGTCCGACGGACATAAAGCTCCGTACTTTTCATTGAGTTTCTCAAACATTCTCACTATGTGACCCTTTACAAATTTTTAAACGAATAGCGCATATAGTTGAGCCCTAAACAACGACTTATCGGAATTTAACATCACTGTTTAGATTACCTTTTATAATCTTGTTCTTTTTTTATGTACATGGAAAGGAGAAGAGTGTATTCTATAACCTACTGATATATTTAAACACAGGTTATGTAAATGTGAATGTCAATGTAAAATGTGAATAACCAAACCTTGTACTAGAGGGTTTAAGTAGAAAAAAAATACCTTGTATTGGAGAGTATCAGTAGAAAAAGCTTACCTTGTACTGGAGAGTATCAGTAGAAAAAGCTTACCTTGTACTGGAGAGTAATAGTAGAAAAAGCTTACCTTGTACTGGAGAGTATCAGTAGAAAAAGATTACCTTGTACAGGAGAATATCAGTAGAAAAAGCTTACCTTGTACTGGAGAGTATAAGTAGAAAAAGCTTACCTTGTACTGGAGAGTATCAGTAGAAAAAGCTTACCTTGTACTGGAGAGTAATAGTAGAAAAAGCTTACCTTGTACAGGAGAATATCAGTAGAAAAAGCTTACCTTGTACTGGAGAGTATCAGTAGAAAAAGCTTACCTTGTACTGGAGAGTATCAGTAGAAAAAGCTTACCTTGTACTGGAGAGTATCAGTAGAAAAAGCTTACCTTGTACTGGAGAGTATCAGTAGAAAAAGCTTACCTTGTACTGGAGAGTATCAGTAGAAAAAGCTTACCTTGTACTGGAGAGTATCAGTAGAAAAAGCTTACCTTGTACTGGAGAGTATCAGTAGAAAAAGCTTACCTTGTACTGGAGAGTATCAGTAGAAAAAGCTTACCTTGTACTGGAGAGTATCAGTAGAAAAAGCTTACCTTGTACTGGAGAGTATCAGTAGAAAAAGCTTACCTTTTACTGGTGAGTAGTAGTAGAAAAAGCTTACCTTGTACTGGAGAGTATTAGTAGAAAAACCTTACCTTGTACTGGAGAGTATCAGTAGAAAAAGCTTACCTTGTACTGGAGAGTATCAGTAGAAAAAGCTTACCTTGTACTGGAGAATATCAGTAGAAAAAGCTTACATTGTACTGGGGAGTATCAGTAGAAAAAGCTTACCTTGTACTGGAGAGTATCAGTAGAAAAAGCTTACCTTGTACTGGAGAATATCAGTAGAAAAAGCTTACATTGTACTTGGGAGTATCAGTAGAAAAAGCTTACCTTGTACTGGAGAGTATCAGTAGAAAAAGCTTACTTTGTACTGGAGAGTATCAGTAGAAAAAGCTTACCTTGTACTTGAGAGTATCAGTAGAAAAAGCTTACCATGTACTAGAGAATGTCAGTAGAAAAAGCTTACCTTGTATTGGAAAGTATCAGTAGAAAAAGCTTACCATGTACTTGATGGTATAAGAAAATGAATCTTGTTATGTGTTAGAACGGAATAAGTAATAAAATCGTTCCTTTTACTAAAGGGTATAAGCAGAAAAAACCAAACGAATAAGGTCGTGTACTAAAATCAATTGAAGAATCTTACCATGCTACTGGAAGGTATCAGTAGAAACGTTTAACCTTATATAAGAGGGAGTAAGTACAATGAGAAGGGAAAATCGTTCCTCGTACAGAAGGATAAAAGCAAAACAATCTTACGTACCTTTTGAAGGAGAATATCACTAGAAAAGTCTTACTTTGTACTGGAGGGTATACGACGAAAAACCTTACCTTGTAATGGAGGGTGTTAATAGAAAAAGCTTACCTTGTAATGGAGGGTGTTAATAGAAAAACCTTACCTTGTAATGGGGGGTGTTAATAGAAAAACCTGATCTATCTGACTTTGTACTTGAGGGTATAAGTAGAACAATCTTGTGGTTGAGGATTTAAGTAGAAAAATCTTACCTTTTAGTGGAGGGTATAGGATGAAATCTGCCTTGTAACGAAGGGTTTGTATAGAAAATCTTACCATGCCATGTGAGGAGAAAAAAGTAGGAAAATCTTACCTTGTAGTGGAAGGTAGTATAGTAGGCGTCGCTGTATTGTGTGGTATCTCTGAGCAGTAGTGGCCTTATATAGTACCAGAAAAACAAGTGCTTACGAAACACATTTCTTATCGTGAAAAATGTCCATGTAGGGTCATTATGAAAACAAAATAAACATGACCCTATTACCTTATCACCCCTTCCCTGACTTGGACACGTGTATGCCTGACCAACCCGACCATCGATGATGTACCAGATGAAAAGCAATATAGAGGTCGGTATTAAGAACCCATTTTTCCTCGTTTCCTCTGCCCTAACACCCACCACCTTTCCCTGAACATTGTGCTGGAGTTTTTCTTTGGCCAACTTTGCTCTTCCACTTATACTTAAACCTTGGTACACCTCAGAATGCCAAATACACATTCGGCATATTATGCAATTAAAAAATAAAATGAATAATAGATACAACAATTGTATAGCGCCCTAAATAATTTGAAAATTACTCTAAGGCACTTTACTGCACATGCATAATAATGCACCTACATGTTCAGTGACAGTTATAAATATAGTAAATAAAAAGGCACACAAATCAACATTTTACATCGGTATGAATATTTATAGATATATAGGGTGGTGTGTACATGACGAACATCGTATGTGCGAAAGAGTCTTAAATGCAGATGGTAAGCTATTTTATAGCGTGGCCGAAACCCTTCCAAAGCATAATCAACAAATACGCATAGTCAACAAAATAAATTAAAACTCGAACTATGTCAATGTCAATATAGGGGTCACGTTACCACACACGTAACTAGACATATCAAATACCCGTATCTGAAGTCACGTGGATGTCCATGCTGGCCCTCGCCTGTTAATAAACGTGACCAAGATAAACTGCATTGAACAAATAGGTATCTGTTAAGCAACACTTACATTAGGGCTAAACATTAGGAGTGTAATTATGTCAAAGCTATACATTAAGGATGTACTCCTCTGAGGTTTCAGTCACGTTCAAGTCTCGTTTTGATCTGGTGTAATGGGTTTTTGTAATATTTAACAAATTATGATCAAATTTATAAGCAAACACGCATCTGAAAAATATGTCAAAAAACTAGATGCCTGTTGTTTGTAGAATTTTTTTTACAAGAATTTAAAAAAATACCAATTCGGTGGCCATTTTGAAAAGGTGTATTAATGTGCATTTCTTGCGCCTCAAAAAAGGCCAAAATTTCACTTTTTTTGACACAAGATTGATCACTTAAATTGTCATTGTGTTGCCATTTTTAATTGTAGCAGGTTCAATTTTGCTGTACAACTTTATAATGTTCAATATGATACAAATTATGCAACAAACTGGAAAATTATATATTATTGATATCTCCTTTTTACATATTTACTGTAACTGAAGCACTTTTGATTTTTGACCCCGAAAAAGGTAAAAAATAACACAAATGATAATGATAATTATATGAGGGCTATATATTAGGTGTATAATTATATTAGGGTTAGCTATTAGGTGAATAATTATGTTAGGGCTGTATATTAGAGGTATGATTATGTAAGGGCTTTATATTAGGTGTATAATTATTTTAGGGCTGTATATTAGAGGTATGATTATGTTAGGGCTATATATTAGGAGTAAAACTATGTGAGGCTATAAAATAGATCTATAATTATGTTAGGGCTGTATATTATGTGTGTATTTAAGTTAGGGTTATATATTAGGTGTATACTTATATGAGGGCTATATATTTGTGGTATAATTATGTTTGGGATGTATATTAGGTGTATAATATGAGAAGGCTATATATTAGGTGTGTAATTATGTGAGGGCTATATATAAGGTGTATAATTATGTTAGGACTATATATTAGGCGTATAATTATGTTTGGGCTATATATTAGGTGTATAATTATGTGAGGGCTATATGTAAGTTGTAAAATTATGTTAGGGCTGTATAATTGGTGTACAATTATGTTAGGGCTGTATATTAGGTCTTAATTATGTGAGGGCTTCATATTACGTGTATAATTATGTTAGGGTTATATATAAGGTTTACAATAATGTTCGGACTATATACTTAATGTGTAATTATGTTAGGGCTATATATTAGGCGTATAACTATGTAAGGGCTATATTTTAGGTGAATAATTATCTTAGGGTTATATAATAGGTGTATAATTATGTTAGGGTTATATATTAGCTGTATAGGTATGCGAGGGCTATGACTTAGGCGTATAATTATGTGAGGGCTATGTATTAGGTGTATTATGATGTAAGGGCAATATAATAGATCTATAAGTATGTGAGGGCTATATATTAGGTGTGTATTGATGTGAGGGCTATATATTATATGTATAACTATGTTGGGACTATATCTTAGATGTATAATTATGTAAGGGCTATATATAAGGTATATGAATATGTGAGGGCTGTATATTAGGTGTATAATTATGTTAGGGCTATATATTTTAGTGTATTATTATGTTGGGAGTATACAGTAGACGTATAATTATATGAGGGCTATATATTAGGTGTATAATTATATTAGGGTTATATATTAGGTGTATAACTATTTTAGGGCTGTATATTAGAGGTATGATTATGTTAGGGCTATATATTAGGGGTAAAACTATGTGAGGATATAAAATAGATCTATAATTATGTTAGGGCTGTATATTATGCGTGTATTGATGTTAGGGCTATATATTAGATGTATCATTATATGAAGACTATATATAAGGTGTATAATTATGTGAGGGCTATATATAAGGTGTATAATTATGTTAGAACTATATCTTAGTTGTATAATTATGTAAGGGCTATAAAGTAGGGGAATAATTATGTTTTGGCGGTACATTAGGCGTATAATTATGTTGGGACTATATTTTAGGTATATAATTATCTTAGGGTCATATAATAGTATAATTATGTAAGGGTTATATATTAGCTGTATAGGGCTATATCTTAGGCGTGTAATTATTTGAGGGCTATATATTAGGTGTATAATGATATTAGGGCGTTATAATAGATCTATAATTATGTGAGGGCTATATATTAGGTGTGTATTGATGTGAGGGCTATATATTATATGAATAACTATGTTGGGACTATATATTAGTTGTATAATTATGTTAGGGCTGTATATAAGGTGTATAATTATGTTAGGGCAATATAATAGATCTATAATTATTTGAGAGCTATATATTAGGTGTGTATTGATGTGAGGGCTATATATTAAATGTATAACTATGTTGGGACTATATCTTAGATGTATAGTTATTTTAGGGCTTTATATTAGGTCTATAATTATGTAAGAGCTATACATTAGGTGTATAAATATGTAATCGTTATATATTAGGTGTATAATTATGTAAGGCCTACATATAAGGTGTGTATTTACAATGTTTGTTAGGGCTATATATTAGGTATATAAATATGTGAGGGCTGTATATGAGGGGTTAAATTATGTTAGGGCTAATTAATAGATCTCTAATTTTGTTAGGGTATACATTAGGTGTATAGTTATGTTAGGGCTATATATTAGGTGTATACTTATGTTAGGGCTATATCTTTTAGTGTATAATTATGATGGGAGTATATATTAGACGCATAATTATATGAGGGCTATATATTAGGTGTATAATTATGTAGGGGTTATATAGTAGGTTTATAATTATGTGAAGACTATGTATTAGGTGTATAATTATGTTGGGACTATATGTTAGGTGTATACTTATGCGAGGGCTATATATTAGATGTATATTTATGTAAGGGTTTAACATTAGGTGTATAATTATGTAAGGGCTATATATAAGGTTTATAATTATGTTGGGACTATTTATTAAATGAGTTATTATGTTAGGGCTATATATTAGATGTATCATTATATGAAGACTATATATTAGGTGTATAATTATGTGAGGGCTATATATAAGGTGTATAATTATGTTAGAACTATATATTAGTTGTATAATTATGTAAGGGCTATAAAGTAGTGGAATAATTATGTTTGGGCGGTACATTAGGCGTATAATTATGTTAGGACTATGCTTTAGGTCTATAATTATCTTAGGGTCATAGAATAGGTGTACAATTATGTTAGGGTTCTATATTAGCTGTATAGGGCTATATCCTAGGCGTATGATTATATGAGGGCTATATATTAGGTGTATAATGATATTAGGGCGTTATAATAGATCTATAATTATGTGAGGGCTATATATTAGGTGTGTATTGATGTGAGGGTTATATATTATATGTATAACTATTTTGGGACTATATCTTAGATGTATATTTATGTTAGGGCTTTATATTAGGTCTATAATTATGTAAGAGCTATACATTAGGTGTATAAATATGTAATCGTTATATATTAGATGTATAGTTATGTAAGGTGTGTATTTACAATGTTTGTTAGGGCTATATATTAGGTATATAAATATGTGAGGGCTATATATAAGGGGTTTAATTATGTTAGGGCTATTTAATAGATCTCTAATTTTGTAAGGGTTTACATTAGGTGTATACTTATATAAGGGTTATATATTAGGTGTATAATTATTTTAGGGCTGTATATTAGGGGTAAAACTATGTGAGGGCTATAAAATAGATCTATAATTATGTTAGGGCTGTATATTATGTGTGTATTATTATATGAGGGCTATATATAAGGGGTATAATTCTGTTTAACTACAATAAGTTTATATAATAATACTATTTTTTTTGTGAATGACCCTAGCGACTAAACAACGACTGGTCTGAGTACATCTTAACTAAATTAGATGAACAGACCACATGGGCTTTGTGAACAATGTTTACTTGCCGAAATATTCACAATTGAAGTTCCAATTTAATCCGCCTTGCTACTTCCAGTCGCCATTTTGTAAACAGTGGCCTAATCTCAAGCTGATGCGCGTTGGAAAGAGTTTGACGTATTGCAAAGATTCTAAATGATCATGCCCAGCACATACTCTCTAAGGATGATGTTTTTGAAAAAAAATACTATCTATTATTTACTATATTTCTTTTTTGTATCACTTTTATTAATTCATAAAAGAACCAATTGATTTTGTCCCCTTCAAACTTTTTTTTTCAAATGTTAAACCACATTTTTTTTCATTTTTTTT